GCAAAAGACAAATGGGCAACGACTGAGCGCTGACTTGTGACGATCCAAGTTGGATTCGGTTGCTGCTGCACCAGTAGTGATGGCTTATTCGGCGGTGCCTAATGCACCGTGACAAGCACCACGCAGCAGAAAAAGCAGCAGCAGCAGGCAGATTGTCCGTGCCGATGGCTGGTCACGGCGGTAGAGAGAAGACTCTGAAGACGCTGCAACGAGCACGAGACCAGCACTTTTCCAGCTTTCTCCTCATCTTGTTGTACACCTCAACTTTTATGGAGCTTAACCAGATTCAGCGACGATTGCTCTGCTCGTTCCCCTTTTTTCATTCTTGCTCTCTAGATTCCAACACTTTCAGACGGAGTGTACTCAAGCCCGACTAATACAATTTGCTGAGATGGCACTTTTCCTTTCTCGGGCTCCTTCTTTTTTCGGTAGTCTTTGGTAGTTTTCAATCGAAATCGCATTTTCAATTTAAAGCAAAAATTAGAAAAAGAGGGAATAGTTGATACAGAACACTGAACACTACCGCTACTACTGCTGAAAACAATGGAAAGCGAGAAAGAGAAAGCAAGCATCGATTAAATGGAAATTACTATTGCCAAATGATGCAGTGCAGTGAATGGAGGGAGCAATGCAGATGACGACTGTTTGAACGGCAGAAGTTGGTGGTAGTCTCGGTGCTAAGTGCCTCTTTCTTTTTTTCTCTCCCATCGAAGCTTATGATGTTTCAGCACTGTTGTACTGTAAGCAGTGTACACACTGGGTGATAAATTGAACTGAACGAACAGACTCATCGCACTCGGCGGGGGATGCAAATTGCCAAAGCCACTTTAACTTGGGCTGCCGGCTTTAGCTGATTTCCAGAAGTAGAGAAAAACAATGAAACACTGTTTCTTGTTACGAACAGCTGAGTATTACCAAGAAGTAGTTCAATGAACACTCGCCGCCGCCGCCGCCGCACATCTAGATGATCGATTAGTAATAGGACCAAGGAATCAGCTAAGCTGCTAGGAAGGCAAACATTGCAATTGANTCAGAAGTAGAGAAAAACAATGAAACACTGTTTCTTGTTACGAACAGCTGAGTATTACCAAGAAGTAGTTCAATGAGCACTCGCCGCCGCCGCCGCACATCTAGATGATCGATTAGTAATAGGACCAAGGAATCAGCTAAGCTGCTAGGAAAGCAAACATTGCAATTGAAACCGGAAAGAAAGAGAGAGAAAAAGATGAGCGGCAAGTAGGAAAGAGAGCTTCTTTCTCAACGTGCAACGTTGGATGCTCCGGTGACATTGTGCACTGTCGATGAACGTTTTGTGTCAGACAAACGTACAGAGATCACCAGCATCACTTTCACACCAGCTACCGATGAACCTTCAGGAAAGTCCACAAAAAGAGCTACAAAAAGAAAAAACCGAGACAGTTGACCGAGACCCAGAACAGTTTTCTGACTGGCTATAAAAGTAGCCCTTTCACCTGATGACAGGGTTTTGTCAAACTTCAAATTGTGCAGTGCAATCCTTTTTTACTAAAGTAACCCAACACCAACATCATCATCATGATGGATCAACGCTATCAGAGTGACAGTGTGGAGCACTACCTTCAGACATCGTCGTACGACCACAGTGAAGCTGAAGATGGAGACAGACTTAAGCAGTCGCCCATGACAGACAGCAAGTACCAACACCGAAGCTGGTCGTACATAATCCGCCACGAGGTGGACTGGCACTCGCTGATCAACATGAGCACTGTGCACCTGCTCGCCCTGTGGGGCGTCTACCGGGCGCTGGTCTACGGCTACCGCTCCTACTACACCATCCTCTTCACGTACGTCCTCGCCGCACTGACCGGCATCGGGTCGCTGGCCGGCGCCCACCGCTACTTCTCACACCGGGCCTTCAAAGCGCACTGGACCTTCAAGCTCTTCCTCCTCTTCTGCCAGACCACCAGTGGACAGCGGTCGGTGGTGCGCTGGGCGAGGGAGCACCGGACGCACCATCGGTTCGCCGGCACCGACGCCGACTGCGTCAACATCAACCGAGGCTTCTTCTTCGCCCACATCGGCTGGCTCTTTCTGAAGCCACTGCCTGAGTGTGCCCGTCGAATGGAGGAGTGCAATGTGAGCGACCTCACCTCTGATCGATTGATTTGGCTGCAGTACGTCTACTACACACCGCTGATGATCACCTGCAATGCGCTGCTGCCGACGGCGGTTACCTGGCTCTGCTTCGGCGAGGATCTTCTCAATGCCTTTCTCTGGGTCTTTGCGCTGCGTTACGTCTACACGCTGCACATTGCCTTCTCCGGTAAGGGGTGGTTTTAATTTTTCGTTCAGATGATAATCAGTCTCTTCTTTATCTATTTGCAGGCAACTCTGTGCTGCACTACTTTGGCAGTCGTCCCTACGACCGCCGCTCCACTGCCACCCACTGCACGTGGATGATCTGGGCGACACTGGGCGCCGCCTACCACAACTTCCACCACACCTTCCCCTACGATTACACTGCCAGTGAGTTTGGGCCGGCCACTGTCTTCAACCTGAACACCGTACTGATTGACCTCGCCGCAAAGCTCGGCCTGGCCACTGATCTCAAGCGTGCCTCACCGGCGACCATCGACCAGTGGAAGCGCAAGTACGGCAGTCCCGAGGAGGCGGTGCCCACTCGAGGGCCCGCTCTCGACTGGACGCTGGGCATGCTTTTCAGTGCTCTGCCCATTTGGCTGATTCTTGGCGGCAGGGCGGTCATGGTCAGCTGCTTTCAGTAGAGAACGACGAGAGATGAATGATTTTGAAATAAAACCAGTAACTGGAAGGGTGTCTGGTGGCTCAAATGATAACTACTCCAATATCGTTTCATCAGGTAGAACTTTCATTTAAAAAACTTGAAGATGCAGTTTAATTTTATGTAGCCGGTTGGTTCGGTGAGTGAGCAAACGCCAATGTTGTGGCCAAAGCTGCTCTGAAGAAGATAGTGGCAAGGAGAAGGCGAACTATTCTGATTCAATTTTGTGAGTTTCTGTAAGACGAGCGAGTGATTGGAAGATAGGATTGGCTTGATTTTATTGGCGATTGCCAATCGCCGATTGGTAAAAAGTGAGATGGAGTTTAGAGAGCGAAAAAAGTGCACAGTGGCGCGACGGCAAAACGTCTGACACTGGTCGCTTGACCAAAGACCTGTTATTAGCAAAGAACAAGAGTGTCCGGGAAACGACAAAATAGAAGCAATAAGTAAATCGCCATCTCAGTCATCCCAATCCATTCATTCACGTTTTTTGTTCAACATTACAGGCAAAACTCACACTGTCGATACGCCAGCAACTGTCGACGCCGACAGCGCCACCATTCACAACAGTGAGCGTTTTTGCGGCCCGTTCGCATCTGTTGAAAAACACCACAGGACAGTTTTTATCAACAGTGTGAGTTTTGCCTGTAAAAAGCTGAAGCTATCAGGGGAATTAAAATCTATGACCGATGGGCAAAACTAATCAATACCAGAACAGGCAACAGTGCGAAACAACACAGCTGAAGCAGCTTTCTTTTCACCCTTTTCAACTGATAACAATCACAATTGATCAGTAACACGAAGATAACGAAGATAATCTGGGCTGACTTACGGTCAAAACGCGCGCTGACTCATGCGTGACTCATTTTAGAAAAAATTGAGAAGGTTTCCAGAAAAGTAAGAAAAAGTTCCTGTAAAAACTCGCGAAAACTTTAGTTCTCTCTAGTTGCTCGATTTCACTCACTGCTTGTTTTTATCTGACACTCATTCTCGCATCTTTCTTGCAATTCTACTTTACCATCCACAAGTGACTCTAAAAAGTAACTCCTTAAACGATTCTTTTCCAAATAATAACGTGTCATTCTTACAATTTCAGTGTCGTCCTCATCGTCTACAAGCCCTGGTAAGATCATCGGCCTAGGTCCGAATGTCTGGAAAGTTGAGAAAATAGTGGGCGAGCGTTCTGAAAAGTTCGGAAACAAAGTTGTCACCGAGTTTGAGGTCAAGTGGGAAGGCTATGATAAAAGCCAAAACACCTGGGAGAGCGCGAAACGAATCCTGGACAAAAGTTTGATTACTGAATGGCGTGTTAAGCATCCGAGTAAATCCGACAAAGATCCGTTGCCAAAGAAGTCGCGCGTAACCAAGAAAAAGAAAGTCAATAACGTCATCCAAAAAGTTTCGAAAAAGAATACTGCCAATTCCATTCCTGCCATTACTCCTATCTTGGGACGCACTCGCTCCAGCACTAAAGTTCAATCTACTGTGTCAGGTACTTCAACGGAACCAGGTCACATTCCCCAAATTTTGAGCGTTTCTAGTGTCACGGCCCGTGATGTAACACTGCAGATTATCAATCTCAGTGTTCCACCCAAGTTGTTGATCAAAGAAAAAGTTTGCCAAAACTAATTTCAATGATTTTCTTTGTTTAGGTCTCCACAAGAACAACTGAAAGAATTCTAATGTATTACAAAAATTAACTACACACATGTTTTGTTACCATGATTAGCAAAGATTAACCTTTTCAATGTTTTCATATTTCCATATATCCATAATAATTTCGATACTAACACCTTGTTACCACTTACTCATACAAAAATGTATTTGTACAACATAAATAAGACCTAGTGGCAAAATAAAATTGCTAGAAAATTTTTGTAAAAAGTAGCGGCCGCCAGGCCGCTGGTGACTTGGTTTTGCTCACGCGAAGTTTGAAACCTTTGTAAATGCTTCATAAGCAGCTTCCCTCTACCAAAAAAGTCAGTTTAGAGTCTAGACTGCGTATGCTTGTAAATCTCTTTAAGTTCGCCATGTTACCAACCTCTTCTCAAGGAATTTTCTTTGAAATGTTTATCTCTTTCGAGGCCAATTTGGAAAGCTCTGCGAAGTCTTGAAACATATGCTCTAAACTTTATTCTAAATCTGATTTCACTAAAAGGCTTCGCTCGTACACAAACTCAATTAAACAATTCTCTATGATCACCCCAAACAAAACAGCCATCTATAGCTCCGGGTCGACTACATTGTACTTGGTGGTGATGTCCTGGTGGAGGTGTGTGTAGGCGTACCAGTAGACTGCGTTGAAGAGAATGAAAAACAGCGGAAAGACGAAGCGAGACTTGCGATCGATGGAGTTGGCGAACACCTCTCCCTGGCAGTTTGCTCCAGAGCACCACATCATACAGCAGAGGAAGCGAGTCGCCTTCGGGGATGATTCTTTGCCAGAATCACTGGATGACTCTGACGATGATGGCTGATAGTGGTGGTGTACGCTTATGGCAAACTGCTGCTGCTGCTGCTGTTGATNGTCGATGGAGTTGGCGAACACCTCTCCCTGGCAGTTTGCTCCAGAGCACCACATCATACAGCAAAGGAAGCGAGTCGCCTTCGGGGATGATTCTTTGCCAGAATCACTGGATGACTCTGACGATGATGGCTGATAGTGGTGGTGTACGCTTATGGCAAACTGCTGCTGCTGCTGCTGTTGATGCTGAGACCCATGTTTCCTCTCTCCTCGTTTCTGCTGAGGCTGATGCATACTTCGTGATGTCATCACATCAGCGCCGCTCTCTTCAGCGTTGACAGGCAATGTCAGCGAGATGTGATTCAACTTGTTCACCAGTTGCAGAATCTGGCTGCCCTCCGGAAGGCTGTAGTCGGTGGTCTGAGGAGGAGGAGGAGGGAGTAAGTCAGAGAAGACAAACATCAACATCAACTTACATCACTGCTCTGTCGAAGGATGCTTCCCCTTCGCAGTGGCGATGAAGATGGGGAAGAAGAATGGTTGGCTCCGAGGACGGTGAACAGTGGATGATGACTTTGCTGCTGCTGATGCTGTTTACCTGAAGAGGAATGCCGGTGGTAGTCGTCAGTGAGATTGGCTATGGCCGCCGCCGCCCTTTCCTTGCTCTCCCGTTCGGCCATCTTCTTCTTCGCCCGCCTCTCCTCCTCCTCTTGCTCTCGCCTGGCGCGAGCATTGACGGCGAATCGAAATATGTAAGAAACTAACGCAAACTCAAGCAGGGAGAGAAAGATGAAACAGGTGCAGAAGGCGATCCACACGTCCAAGGCGTGAATGTAGCCGATGCGAGGCAGCTTGTCGCGAGACGACTGCGAGCTGGTCACTGGAGCAAATAATGATTTAAAGGTCAAGTACTTGAAGTGTAAAAAACGTCTTGTTACCCAAAGTGAGCAGAGTCGTCATGCCCAGAGAGACTCGAGCCGGCGCGGCGGTGATCTGCATCCAAAAGGACAGCCAGGAGATCATGACAAAGAGCATCGAGGGCAGGTAGATCTCAAAGAAGTAGTTGTTCCACTCCCTCTGAATGACCATCTTCACCATGATCTGACTCATCATGTTCATGCCGTAAATGTCCTGCCGGGCCGGCTTGGCAATGGTGCTGTCATTGAACAGTCGGTAGCCCACCAACTTGAAGCCTGTTGTTGTTTGTGAGAAAGAGAGAAAATAAACACCATTTTCAATTAGACAACAAAAATAATAATTTGGCAATGGGCAGTGTCGCGCACCGGTCATAAGAAAGCTCTCGAGGTTGCGAAAGGGATGGTCTTTTCGCCAGACCAGGATCATGTCAGGGCGCGGAAAGGAACGACTCTCCAGCTTGATGTAGCACTCCTGCTTGTCGAAGGGAAAAAGCTTAAAGTCGAGGAAGCAGAACAGGTTCAGCAGAAGGCTAAAGAAAAAAAAGACACAAGACAGGGTGTCAACACCACCATCAATTTAAATTACTTCCACCCCAACTAACTTGAGTCGAATGTGGACGTATCCGTCGGTGCGCAGCTGCCCTAGAATGAGCGTCGCCTCTCCCTGAATGATGCTCGTATCGGGGTCTTTGATGTTGGGCACACCCAATTTGGGCGACCAGATTCGATCGAGGTGGTAGGAATCGAGTGGCATGGTGACCAGCGACTTGCTGCAATTGTTAAATAGTCGCTCGTCGACCCACTCCAGGTCTAGTTTGAGGATGATCTTGTACTCGGAGTTGATTTCATCGACGCTGGCCATGCTGTTCATGTCAAGGGAAACGTTCACCTGCACGGGCGGATTGTACTCTAGTGATTCGTTGAAGCCAGGGCGAACGTAGCGCTTGTAGGAGACGCCCGAGGTGGCCTTATTCAGCCAGGTGGTCAGGTCGCTGCTCGTCTTGAAACACTCGTTCTTCTTGAAGACGGCATTGCTGTCTGTCAGAGGTGTGTCGAAGATGAAGGCAATGCAATTCAGGGGAAAAAGAAGAAGAAAAAAGATGGGTATAATTTTGCAGACAAGTTTGGCTTTGCTGGCAGCCATTTTCTGTGCAACTACTGCTGCTTCTGGTGAAACGCAATCGACCCGACTAACCAACCAACTGACTGACTGATTAATGAAGTGTGGCTGCTCGGGCAGCTCACCGGATATTGATCCTCTTTCACGGGTTGCACACCTTTTAAAAGTGATTTCATAGTTCTTTCTCTCTGAAAGATGAAGTGTGCAGGATTACCACTGGGCACTGCGTGCTCAAGTGAGAGATTAATCTACTGCACTACTGTGCAAACAAGGCTTAAGGCACATTTTTAATAGCAAAAAGAGGTTTCATCATTTTGAGAGCAGATGGCAAGGTGGTAGTGAAGTGGCGATGATGGGGTGACAAGTTATAATGAAGATGGGACTTGAAGATGACGCAAACACAATGACAACAGTTATTGANGAGGTTTCATCATTTTGAGAGCAGCAGATGGCAAGGTGATGATGATGGGGTGACAAGTTATAATGAAGATGGGACTTGAAGATGACGCAAACACAATGACAACAGTTATTGAAATGCCTACAGTAGTGTCGATTGAGTAAACAGACGATATTCTTTTTGTCTAATGGACTTGAGCGTACGAAGGGAGAAAAGAGAGAAAAAGAAAGTATAAACATAGAAAAGGAGAGTGTATGAAAGCGATGAAAGCGTTGTGTTGAGAAGAAAACTCAAAGTATCGTAAAGTTACAACAATATGATCTCGTCAAAGAGTAAAAGTAGCAAAATGATAAAATGTACAGATCAAAAGACGAAAGGAAACAAAGAAAAGGTTTGTCGCCTTTAACCAGACGAATGTGTGTGTGGATATATCAAATCACAGAACGCGGAAGACGGAAATTGGTAATAATAATAAGGATGAAATTGGTGAATAAAACTAACCACCCGGTGGCTGGAGACTCTACTGACTCTTCTTAATCTGCTTTGAAGAGAGGTAGGAGCGCACGTAGAACTGGCCAAACATGACCAGAAAAATGAGCGCCTGTGAAACGGGCATCATTCGGTAGATGAGCGGGTAGCCGCTGTGCAGCAGATTCAGACACAGTCCGTAGAGGCCAATGATGGCGAACTGAATGAGCTGAATCTGGGTGATGTACTTCTTCCACCACAGGTACGGCTGAATTTGCGGCCCAAAGGAGCTCAGTCCGTAGTAGCTGTACATGATGATGTGGCAGAAAGAGTTACACAGTGCAAAAAGACCTAGCACCGGCATCGTCGGACTGATCCACGAGCTGATCCACCCGATTATGGGAACTGAATGAATAGGTAATTATTAATTTTGTAAGTTTTAAAAGGTGCAAATGTGCCAACTTACCACTAATATGATGGTAGATGTGAAGGGTAGTCACCTGAAAAAGTATAAAATTAAATCAATGTTAACGACCAATAAACTGCCGTTCTTACCTGTCGATTTTTCTTTCGAAGAATGAAGAAGAAGGTGTCAAAGTAGTCGACAAACTTTGTCCAAAAGTAC